AGGTGAGAGATGTATAAAAATACATCAAAGTATAATTCCAAACTAGTTTGGATATTAGTTAATTGGATATAGTTTTGATGTTATACAGTAGTTTAGTTAATTGGATATAGTTTTGATGTTATACAGTAGTTTAAATCTAAACAGAGAGAATAAATTACATTTGAGAAACAGCCCTAAAAAAAAAAAAACCTGGAGACTAGACTTCTAGACCCACTTGTGTCTTGGAATCTGTTTCCTCACTTGAATAAAATAACTCCTGCTTAAAGCAGAGTCTTGTGAAAATCCAATTTGAATTAGAAAGCTTTAAAAGTGACAAAGTGCTACACAAATTCAAGTTACTGCTGTTGAAATGTACCCATTCTTATAGCTAGCAACAGATCCTGATTTCTGTATTTTCCATATTTATTTTACCAGCTTTCTCTCATTGTGATTTAAATCTGTCCTATAAATCCTACTGGTTGATAAGAATGTTCTTGGTGTTTTCCTCCTATAGCAGGACATGGCTAAGACAATAAATGTAAAGTTATGGTTGTCTGCAGGATTATATGTTATTTGCTCTAGGTGACTGAATACACCAATATTTCCCTCCCTCCCCTATGAAACATCCCACAAAAAGGAGCTGACAAATCTATACCAAATAGGATTTTCTAAAGAGGCTACTTTACCATTTCTCAGAAAAGACATTGGGCACCAGCAACCGCTTTGTTCACAAGTGAAAATGCAGCCTGGCAGGGGTTCATTAGATAATACATAAAACAGTGGAACAAAGGTGACAGAGGTTGAACTCTTAATTGCCTATCAAGCACAATCAAACCGAGCTTCTGGGAAAGATTTGCTATTCTAATTATCCCTTTGTGGGGACTCAAGGGGAAATAAACAAAACAAGCTTCACCATCATCATCATTTGTAAAATTTCTCTAAAGATTTCCTGGTGTTATGATAGCCGTAGATTGCTGTGACTTATCTATCAGTTGATTTTAACTAACATTAAAACTTTTGTGCAAACTAAACTCATTTGTCTTCCTCATGTTCCAGTGAGTGAAGTAACTGGCAGATATTTCTTCCAATTTACTAGAAAAGAACCTACATCTATAATCACAGGATTTACGCTGTCATAAAATAGTACCAGAACGTTGTTCTCTAGTTAATTCTGGATTATCTTTCTTCTCTACAATGCTTGATATTTCAAAGACAGAGTCTCTAGGGAAAAGATTCTCAAACTTGGCTGCACACCAGGGAGAGATTTTAAAAATCACTAGAAAGTTCAGCCCTAGCCCCCCCCCCCACACACACACACACTCTGTCTTAATTCCCCAGGGGTGGAGCTCAACATCCACTCTGTAGGTAAAATCTCCCCAGGTGATTCCACTGTGCAAACAGAAACAATGATCCTGAGCTGGGTTTGTCAGTCTTGGCACTACTGACATTTTGGGCTGAATAATTCTTTGTTGTTGCTGTCATAGGCATTGCAGGATGTTTAGCAGCATCCCTGGCCTCTACCCAAGCAATGCCAGTAGAACCCACTCCCCCCCACCACCCCCAACCCCTACCCTCGCCATTACAACAATCAAATAATGACTCCAGGCCTTGCCAAATGTCCTAGGGCACGTAAAGTCATTCCCAGTTGAGATCTAGGGCACTGAATAAGTAGAATGTGGTAGATCCATGCTCTAGAATAAATGTAGAAGCAATGCACCAGGACTATATAACTTTAAATGACTGAGTTGGAAAGAGAAGGGAAGAGAATGATATGATATTATTCATGCTAAAATACTAATTTTCAAAAGTGCAGATGTGTGCATGGGTGGGTGTGATGGAGATGATGGGTCAGATTATAAACTTCAGATGGTTTCTAAGAAGAAACATGCAGATGAGACAGGAGGTTCTGCTTCAAGACCAACTCATTACTATCTGACCCAAATCTCTTCTCATTGAAATTCAGACTCATTTTCCTCATCAATGGTTTTAAAGACCATACTGACTGTTGATGGTGGTAGCAACATCCAAGGGAAATCAGAAGGTATATTTTTATTTTATCATCTCTACTAAAAAAAAAAGCTTGCATGTTCTTAGTTTCATGATCTGTACACTGAGAATAAAAACACCAACTTTGAAGTTTTGAGGCAAAGACTGAACAAAATGATGCTGTGTAAAACATTCTGAAATGTGAATATGTTAAAGCTTAAAGCAATGCTCTTCACAAAAGCTCTACTGGATGCTCTAACAAACAAAATAACCAAGTTTTCCTAGAAAATAGTATTTTCTTTTACCTGTACAATTTCTTTTAACTGTTCTGTTTATAACAGAAGCAGAATTTGAAGAAGTTAACTTTTTGAAAAGTATGCTTTTCGCTAATTAAAATAAACTAATTCTATTAATTGATGGTATTTCAGGTATTTATGATTCCATCTAAATTGGGATTTTCAAAGAGCATTTTAAGATGAAACAGCTTTTTGATAAAACAGGTAAGCTAAGAAATAGAAATTCCTCCCACTTTGAGAAGACAATAAAAATATCATAAAAACAGCACTTTACAAATTATAATTTAAGCATGTTAAATAACTAATTCTTTCAAATGGCTCATCCTTTATAGCTTATTGAAATCATTAACTTTCAGTAATTAAAAGAAAATACTGAATGATTTAGAGCTAAAATTGAGAATCAAATTTGAGAAAAAATTATATTCTGTATTATTTGTAAGAGTAATTCAAATTTTATTTTCTGCTAAATATTTGATATTGATAGTCCATGAAGCATTCCCTTTTTGCTTTCTTGGGGTTCAGAATAAAGTTTTCAATTTCTCAGACTCCGCGTAATGCCCAGCTTCATCCTAGAGTGACTAGCTAGATGTGAATTTTCCCTTACATCACCAACTGAGCACTTCCTTTCCAGAGCTCACCTGCCATATAATTGGAAAAATCTCTTACAATCAACTGTTGTCTGCTAAATATCTATTTATTGGAAACAACTTTCAATTAAGTGTCTGAGACTGAAAAAAAAGTTATAGAAAAAATGAAAATACATCAATTTGTCTTTTCCTAAATATTGAATTCACCCTGGGCAGGTTGGAAAATCTGCATTATCTTTGACAACCCTTCTGTTTCTTCCTAGGTTGTGTTTTGTTTGTTTGATTGTTCGTTTGTTTCTAGACACCCTGTTTGCTCTTTTCAGTACAGCACTTTCCTGGGGCACTCCTGTCCCCTTTCGACATGTACTTTGTATACAGGTTTCCCACTACTAGAAAAACAAGAGAAAGGATGGGTGGGAGGTAGGAGATGATCATACATACAACCCTAGGGCTCACCACACTGCTTATTGCAGAAGGAAAGCACTCAGTGACCACCCACTTACTGGAGCTGGGCGTGTGTTCCTTGTTGTGCTGCTAGGAGATACAACCAAGAAAAAGAAGTGGTCCCTTCCTCTAAGATACGCAGGCTCTAGGGGTGTGCCGCCCTGTGCTCCCTGAGTCTGTCCCGCAGAGCCCACTCACCTCTGCCTGGTGATGAGGTTGATGTAGTGTCTCAGTGCCGAGTAGTATCTGGCCATGTCTTCAGCTGGTGCGTCCTCTCCCGGGTTGTCCGGCTTGGAGGGGTACGCCTCTGCCAGAGCGCCCAGGCACACGAGCAGGCACAGCGCAAGGGTGAGTCCGGAGAACCGCAGTCGCTTGCTACCCAGCATCTGCGAACAGGGAAGAGGTAGAGCAGCGGGGTTTGGGGTTTGGGGATTCAGAGAACAAAGGTCCCGCACCTGCTTCCTCTGCCGTCCCCGCCCCTCACTCGTTTACCGCCCAAGACTCAGTCCTGCGGGAGGAAACCAGTTTAGCAAGAACCACCCAGCCTACTAAGAGCGCCGTCTGCGCCCGCCAAACCCCTCGGTTCTCCGGGAAACTCCGCGCAACTTCATCCCAAGCAGAGTCAGAATTGCTTTTCTAGAGCGCGGAGTCCAGGCGCCAGTTTAAACACTTTATAAAACAGAATTAGAAGTTCCTCCCACTGGGCTGAAGAATTACCTCTTTTTCTACCGATTTCCCCAAGCCCCTGTCAGAAAAGTTTCTTCTGTTACTGATGTTCTGCCGAGCTGCTATTGGGATGGCTGCGATTACTTCGGGATGGCAATTTGAGGGAGAGGAAAGAGAACTGTCCCCCTGGTCAAACAGTTTTAGTTCGCTCCGAGAATCCCGAAAGATAGTTAGGCAAGGGGCTTCCAAGTTCCGGAGATTTCTCGTTCAGGGGACACTGAATAGATGACCCCCCTCCCCCTTCCAGGAAGCGACCACCAGGTGTCTGCCAGCTGCCCTAGGCTGGGGCTTGGTTCTCCCTTCACATCCGACAAAAGATAACCCAGAGAGGTCGCCCAGTCAGGAGCTTCGGATAGAGAACAGCTGGACAATCGGACAGGAACAGATAAAAGATGTAAAACAGCTGCCTAGAGCGGCTAGCGCGCTTCGAGGTTACAGAAGAGCAGAGGCAGGCATACAAGCTTGGGCAACGGGGCGCGACGCTCCTAGGGACCCAAGGGCTCTGCCGAGGATGAGACCCATCCCTGAGCAAGTTGCCTTCGCTCCACCCCATGCCCAGAGGGTGGTGGCACTCACTGTGGCTGGCGACCGGGCTGTGTGGCCAGGCGGCTGGGCTGGGCGGCGAGTGCTCTGCTGTCGGGCGCGCCTCTCGTAGTGATGAGAGCTGGTGGATGGGGTGTAGAGAGTGGGTCGCACAGGGCTTTTTATGGCGCTTCCTTGCCGCGGCAGGAGGGGCCTCGGGCATCATGTTGGGTGACTCCCACCCCGCCACTTGCCGCCCCCGCCTGACGCGAGGCGGGAGGAGTGGGCTGGTCCCGAAACCTCACCAGTGTCACCTCCGGGAACCACCCACACCCCAACTCTTCCGCCCCAGGCCCTGACTAGGAAAAAAAGGATCTGGCATCCATAGAGTGAAAAGAGCGCCCCTGGGGCTCTGAACAATGCCAAAGAACAAGTCCCTGCCCTCCTTGGGCGCCTGAACTCTGCTTTCCATTCTTTTACGCCCCGTCTAGTGCAACCAGAGATAAGAGCAGCCCAGACCTTCTTTGTCGCCAGTCACCGATATCACCACTCTGTTGGATGTCAGGGTAAGGGGGTACCTGAATCCTCTGCTTAGAACACCGCTGGTTTATGCGTGGCCGCGGGGCACAATTGAGCACTTTTGGGGAGAGGCAACTTGGTAGGTAGATTGCCCTAGTTTAAAGCAGGTCCAAGCTGCTGCCGGAAATTTCCAGCTGGAGGGTCTTAAACGTGCCTTCTCCCAACCCCAACTACAGCGCTTCATATCTGAGAATGGGCTTCCCTGGCCTTGACCCTTTTATCCAATTTTCTTCTCCCCTACTCCTGTGCCCACCCTGATCAGCCTTCCCCAAATTCAGGGGACTCAGCTGAATAAACCTGAGTGTGATGACAGAAAACTCCCTCAAAGCAGGATATGATAAACCCATTTTGGGGGGGGGGGATGTAGAAAAGAGCCATGTTTCGATGTTGAAGCCCACCCCCCAAAAGAGCAATTAAAGAAAAAAATACTTCTGTCCAAAGCGGCCAGTTCAATAAATAGCAATCTCTCCTTTATCTGCTAGTCCTTGTTTTGGCCCCCAAATACATTCAATTAACACTGATTGAAAATGAAGGTTCTGATTGAAATGACATGTTTAAAAAATCATTAATTTGCACATCTTGTTAAACCTGTTGAATGAATACAGAAACTATTTTTTTCCATGATTAAAGATTCTATGTTGTAAACTAAGCTCTCCTGCTGGAATATTGCTAAAATAAAATGACTCCTAAGAAAATAAAGGGTTAGGTTACTTTATTTTATTTGGATGTTCAAGTGACAATGAGTCTGTTAAACTGACAATATGTTTGTTTTATTTGAATTAAATATTAATTGCTGTGCAGCAATCACTGTGTGTATAAGTGCATGTGACTGATTCTTTTTCCATATCACACAAACACATGCCAGGGACACAAATATCAGGTTCTCAGGGTTTATGTGAAAGAGAGGTAAAGTTAGAGCAAATCATCTTTTAATTTAGAGTCTTTTTTTGATAAAGAGAAAGGCACTCTCCACTTTAAAATAAAATCATTTTTGAAGTAATATGAGGTATTTTCTCTTGGTCACTTTACTCTTCTTACATTTATTTTATATTAGGTGGCTTTTAAAAATTAACTTTTAGGGCCCTTGCTGGTGGCACAACAGGTTAAAGTGCAGTACTGTGAAGCTATCGGCAGCCACTGCAGCACGGAGTTTGATTCCCAGCCAGGGAGTTGACCCACATGGCACAGACCTCTCCTGACCTCCTGTTCCCTTCTGCAATACATTTGGGTCCATCTGCCTGATCTGCTCCCCAATCTGTCTCTGGTGGATCCTCTAATCCTTCCTGTACCCCTGGCCCCAGTTCTTATACATAAATAAATCTTAAGAACAAGGTTTTAAATAAACAAACATATAAATATTAACTTTAAATTGGATAACCCACACCTGAATTTAAAAATGGAAATATTTATTTAAAAAAATACAAATGAAAAAGTCTTACTCTCACTTTTGTCAACATTTGCCCCATTTCCTTTCTACCACATAGGTAATTATTTTTACTAATTTGTTTTTTTTAAAGATTCATTTATGTATGCATACAGAACTGGGGTACAGGCCAGAGGTTTAGGGGCAGAATTCACCAGAGACAGAGTGGGGAGCAGAACAAGCAGATGGACAAAGTACAATGCTGAGGGGAGCAACAGGCGGGTCAGTAGAGGTCTGCCACACCATGTGGGTCACCTCTAGGGTGGGGATCGAACTCATGCTGAAGAGGATTTAGCATCTTAGTGCTGTGCTTTACCTGGCTGTGCCACCAGGGAGGGGCCCTAGTTTTACTAATTTCTTACATATATCTGTTGATGTTCTTTATTGCAAATAAAAGCAAAAATGAGCATATGTTCTCATATTTCTTCTTATAAACTAAAGGAACCTATTGTGAATACTTTTTACTATCAGTTTTATTATTTAGTATTATATCTTGGAAGTCTTTCAATTTAGATCTTAACAGTAATTTTTCTTAATAATTTAAAATTTTTAAATGAACAGAAGCTATCCCACTGTATGTAAGTAATATATTTTATTGGCCCTCTCTTGATAGACAATATGGTTGTTTACAAAATTTTTTTTAAAGATTTATTTATTTATTTATACAGAACCAGGGTACAGACCAGAGATGCGGAGGGTGAGAGGCTTCACCAGAGACAGAGTGGGGAGCAGAACAGGCAGATCGAGGAGGCACAGTGCTGAGGGAAGCAGCGGGGGTGTCAGGAGAGGTCTGCCTAGCCATGTGGATCTCCTCCGGGGCAGGCGGGGATTGAACTCATGCGGAAGTAGCTTAAGCTTCTTAGTGCAGTGCTTTAACCCGCTGCACCACCAGGGAGGGCCCTGTTTACAATTTTTTGCTATTAAAATTATATTAAAATCAACAAAATTGTAAATATAAGGAAAAGGTGATGGAACCTTTTTATTTAAGTAATAATAGTAGAGAGGGCCCTCCCTGGTGGCCCAGTGGGTTAAAGCACAGCACTAAGAAGCTAAAGCCACTTCCCCATGAGTTCTATCCCTGCCCCAGAGGTGACTACATAGTGTCACAGACCTCTCCTGACCCACCCCCTGCTCCCCTCAGCAGTGTACTTCGGTCAGTTGGCCTGTTCTGTATCCCAATTCTGTATGCATAAATAAATAAATCTTTAAAAATTAATAGTAATAGTGGATAATTTCCCTAACTTGGGGCAGGAAGCATGAATACAAATCTAAGAAGCTCAAAGAGGCACATGTGAAAACATTTGATCTTAGTCAAAACATTGAGAAGTGATGACATTTTATAATTAAAATAGTAAAAACTAAAGATAAGGAGTGAATACTAAAAGTATCTAGAGAAAAGTCAATTATATACAAGGGAAGTCTATAAAATTATCTGTTATTTCTCAGTGAGAACCACACAGACCAGAAGGGAATGCATGATGTATTCAAAGTATATATATATATATATAAGGATTTCAACAGAGAATACCTCCCAGATTCCAGATATCAGTTATAATTGAAGGAGAGTTTTACAGATCAACATGAATTAAAAGAATTCATGACCACTAACTGGCTTTGAAAGAAACACTAAAGGAATTCCTATAAAATGAAAAGAAATACACCTAAAAGCACCAAGACACCAAAAATATACAATGGGGGTGGGAGGAGAGGAAAGAGATAAAATATTGAACTATGAGGATGAGTTCAATATTAATCTACACAGTTAAAGTATGCCTTACACATAAACCTGATGATAATCTCAAGACAAAATCCACAGAAGAAATGCATAAGAAATTGGAAAGGAAACTCAAACATACCACAAATGGAAGATGTCAAAGCATAAGAGAAGGAAGTAAGTGAAAAACAGAAGAAAGAAAAGTTATTTTAAAAAATCCCAAAGCAAATAATTAAGTGTCAATCAATGTAATATTTCAATAATTCCCCTAAATGTTAATCCTTTGAATTCAGAAATTAAAATAGAATCCCTAAGTGGTCAAAAACTGAAGCCCACCTTATTGTTGCCTGTAAGTATCAAGCTCTAAATACAAACACAGACCAACAGTAAAAGATTAGAAGAAAATCCTACAAGGAAATGGTAATCTAAAAAAGCCAGTAAAGCCATACTTCTATTGAAATAGATAAAATAGATTTCCAGTTAAAAAAGTTAGTAAGAGACAAGGATAGACATTATATGTCAAAATACAAAAGTACAGTGATTATCAGAACTAGAGCATGATATGGATGGCAATATAATAACAGTAGGAGATTTTAAAAAACCCATTTACAACCTGAAGAAATGAACCAGACAGAAAATAAATAAGGAAAGAACAACCTTAAATGGCGGTGTAAGACAGAACCAAAAGAACAGTGAAAGCGCTAATAAATAGATCAGAAATAAAAGGGGAAAAACTACAACAGAAGCCATGGAAATACAAAGGATCATAAAAGACTACTGTGAACAACTATGTCATTAAATTTGATAACCTAAAAAATGAATAATTTTTAATCAGTACATTCTACCAACAACAAACCTGGATGAAATAGAAAACTTTAATAGACCCCCCTACATATGTGGAAATTGAAAGAACAATCAATCTTCAAAAAAATCTAAGATCCAATACCAGATGGCTCTAGTAGTGATTTTTACTAAACCATTAAATGAGATTATGCCTTCTCAAATTCTCCCAAAAACTTGAAAAAGAGGAATACATCAAAACACACTTTATGAAATTGGCGTTACTATGATACCAAAACAAGATACAGATCACAAAATAAGGGGGAAATGTTCTAGACTAATATCTCTGATGAACATAGATGCAAAACTTCCCAACACAACCTTATCAAATCAATTCAGTGATACATCAAAAGGATCACACAATTGACCAGTAGGTTTTCTTTCAAGAATGTAAGGATGGTTCAATATATGCACTATAAAACTCATATGAAGATTTTCAAATGCAGAAAAAACATCTGACATGATTCAGCATCCCATTTATGATAAAATCTTATAGTAAATGGAGACTGAAGGGACAAAACTTGACATTATAAAGGTCCTGTATAACAAGCCCATAGTTAAATCAACTATGAAAACTGAACATTTTTCCTTTAAGATCAGGAACAAGACAAGG